ATTAATTGACCTCGCTCCCAATGTATGGCTTCATAGCTCAGTTGGTAGAGCATCGCACCAGTATCGCGGAGGTCACGGGTTCGAATCCCATTGAAGCCCAGATTTTTTTCAAGCTTCTTCTTTCCAATTGCTTAAATTGGAAAATTTACTGCGATGATCATTCTTCACTTTCAAGTTTCTGTTTATGAACAAAGTTCTCATCAATGTAAACTACTGGGACACCAGTAGTTGTGTCTACTTACATGTAGCTATAAATTAATTTTTTTCTTGTTTATGGAAATCACGAGAGCTTAAGTGCAAATTCTGTTTCGCTTCTACCCTGTGTTACTCACATGCACGACAATTTTTATACTGTCCTTTACATATTTTAGCTATCTTTTCGAAATTGTCTAATATACACTCTACACATGTACCGACTATGTACAAACATGGTACACAAGATATGGGGACCCTTCCAATCCGCTGCTATTGTTTGTATTTTTGGTGGTAAGTCGGCCGCCCATAGTCAAAGTATCATGTGATGTTTATAGCAAGTTATTACTCTACCTGTCTCTTGGCATACGCGCCCAAACTGTGATCATCCAAGCTATTGTCGTAAGTGTGAACGCCAATCTGAGTCGCTAATTCTGGACTCTCCTTCAAGCGCCACTCCCAAAATGACCTCAAAATATTCTCCACCTCAGCTGACATTGTTGAATTATCGGTAAATATAGAGCTGCTGAAACTCAGAGAGGTGCAGTTTACGAAGAAAAGGCACAATAGTTCTAAAGAACACGAGTAACTCAAGGGCAAGGAAATTCCACGTTTCGTGACACGAAGCCAGCAAAGCTACCTGGGAATTGTGTATCTCTACGAGCCAGCGATATTCATTTGCACGTTTAGAACAATGGCGAACGAACCGGCGTCTAATGGCTGCGTTACTAGCGAAGGTTTAGCCACGAAATTCAGCTCAGAAGAAGCTCTTAAATTTGCGAAAAAGCTGTACATACACGGAGGAAACATTTCCAACTGGAACAGAATCAAAAGAAAAACAACCCCGAGTTCTGCTGATGAGGTTAGTGACAACTTACGATAGTCTGGATAGTGCAGTGCTTTGGTTTATGAGAAATGCAGTAGCGATACCAGTTTGTTGTCTTATTAAATAGCCTCACCTTTATACTGCAACCATAATTAAAAAATATTGACATTATCCTCGTAAAGGAAAAGCGCATGAAAGCTTTGCAAAGCTTCCTGCTTTTGGTTGGGCGTTTTCAATTTCACTGGGAAACGTGATTTCACAATTGGCTGCAATAAACCTGCCAAAGATTTAGGCAGGTTAAAATTCTTATTACTAATCACTGAGATTCTTGTAGGTTCTAGATGATAGGAATTCATTTATTTATTTATTCTTTTATCGAAACTGTTCGATATTTTGCCGTACAAATGAAGAATGAGGTCATGATAAAAACAGGTACCTCCTACATTCGATCGTGACTCGACAGTTTTAACTAAAATTCTTGCAGAGTAACATGTTCAAAACAATCGATAAATTCTTCGTTCGATTCTCGCTTTGCATCATGAGAAAGTATCTGAAATATTATGGTAACAGGCAATGCATTGATCAAAGGCAGTATAACTAGAAAATAGTTTGCTTTCAAACAAAATAATTGCAGTGTCATGCTCGTCTGTTAGCATTTCCTTAATTTTAAGGGCAGTGATGTGAACTGCTATTTCTCGGAATTAAGGAACAAGTTAGGGAATCCAATAACTGTAACTGTTTTTCCTAAATCTGCAAACCTACCAAAAAAGGTCAATGGTGTTTAGCATTCATAATTCAATTTCCAGTTCTTGGACTAAAAATTGGAGATAGTAGAACGTTAATGTACTACATTTAAAGTGATTCTAAAGAGATTAAATATCCAAAATGTACAAGAATTCTAGGATTACATTTCCAACTGAAAAATAAAAAACAATCACAACAGTAGGTTGTGTGCAGTATAAAACTACTGTTAGTGAGACAAGTAGTCTGCACTGAAAGTATTGTATTAGTATGGTAAGTTTTGCAAATGAAAGAGGGGAAAACATGGAAATTGATCAATGCCAGGTCTAAGATCCTACTATTTTTCTTAGCTTTCAGAGAGCATTGGAACAACCCTAAGTAGTGGTTTGCTGCCGATAAACAACAATGAGCAGGAGTTTAGCCCAGTGAGTTATGTTTGATAACAATTTCTTGTCAGTCGATACAATGTATTAAATCTGACAATGCCATTAAAACATCCTCCTTACACATGTAGCATGTCATGCTGTGGCCAACCCTCACAGTTAAGTTGTCTGCAGATTTCTGATATTATACCGATTTCTGCAAAGATACTCCCACGATCTACTCTGGTTGTGACATGGAGTAATCAAATGGGAAGACTGTAAGGCAAGACTAAATTGGTCTATTCCCAAAATAAATGTAAAATTGTGCAGTTGCTGAAAATATCCACACTTCCCCCCCCCCCCCCCCCCCCCCCCCCCCCCCNNNNCCCCTCCCCCTTCCCCTCCTCCTCACAGAAAGGATTGGAATTTCCTGAGGTGGGGAAATTAGAAAAAAAATCCCTTCCCATTACGGATTTTTTGATTTCTTGGCTATATCTGAATGCTTGGTGTATTTCTTATCACAAATTCCTCCCCCCTGCATTTTGAAATAATTTCTAATCTACTTATCCGAGAGAGCTTTCTGCAGGTCCAGTGCTAATGTGATGGTTATGTGTTAATATCCATCCTACAAGCAGAACCTCTTGTATTTCTTTTTCCAAGAACAGAGAGAAGCATCTGATTGCAGGCTGGGTAACATCTTTAAATGTAATTTAATTTAATTTTCTATTCGCAGAGAAAAGCAATAAGGTGTGTCAACAAAAATTTTGTGGAGAGAATAGAGCGAGGAGAGAGAGAGCATCTTAAGATTTCTGGTAAATACATGTAACAGCTGTATCACTTAAATGGAGCCTGGCGTAAAATTATTAATATGAGTAATAAAGCTGTCAATGTTAAATGTACACATGTACACATATGGTCACAAAAAGAAATATTTGCCTGGATTAAACATTTGCAGTTATACATTTACAGTTATAATGTGTACATATATGTACAATTTCTAAAATAATTTTTATTATTTGTTAATTTACATGACTTTTGTATTTAACAGTTAGCATTACTATTTACTTTTTTCCTTTCAGTGAAAGTGTTTGCAGTTGACCTCAGACCTGCTATTATCCAAGATGCATTATTTAGAGGTAATGCTGCTCTTAATAACCATGGTGAATACTCTAGACTGTCTTCTTTTTCGCTCGTACAGTGTTTGACTCCCAAATTAGTAGGGAGGTACAGACAGTGACCTTGTCGGTAGCCAGCTGGACTCTAGATTGAGCTGTTCAAGTTGGAGCCTTGAGCAAAGGTTACTGTTATGTGCTGTGTTCTTGTGCAAGACACTTGACTGTCATACTGACTTTGTTGTCAATTGGGTACCTCTTCCAGGTGCCTCTCCGCCCATTTGATCTTCTTTGACACCCATAATAACCTTATATTAATTTTATCTTGGGTGCAAAAGCTATGTGTGAGCTTGGAGTGGAATCTGTGGAGACGTTGTTCTTGGCATTACCTGAAAATTTACAAGGTGAAGAGAATTTAAAGGTGCTGAAAGGTTTCTGGGAGGTAAGTCTTCATAACCATGAAATACACATCAGACATTATTGTTAATAAGTAGCCACAGCAGTAATAAAAATTGACGAATGCATCCAAGGAAAGAAGTATACATGTAGGCGTGTTCATTCTTAAAATCATTTATAGTAATTTTGCAAGATCCATATGTACGTGTACAGAGCTCTGTGCATGTGCATTCGAAATTTGTTATGGGTAGAATATTTGGAATGAACTAACCAGGGAATGTTTTCAATTGGTTATGTTAGGAAATGGAGTGTTTGCTAGACAGTGGATATGTGGACAGTTTGGGTGTATGTGACTTGGACAAAAACATACTGGAAAAACTTTACGAATGGGCACGGGTAAGAAATACAAAGTTATGTACAATATGTTTGCAAATGACAAGTTAGATTTTTTTATTGGTGACATGTGTAGTCTTGCCCATCATACATGACTCTTTCTCTGTAGTGCTGTATTCATTTTTGACTGTTTACATTGTCAGCATTACAATTTTTAAGATTACAAAAAAATGTATCTTCCTGCTGTAGTTTTCTCTTCATGTTTTGAAAGAAGCATGAAAAGTGACAGTGCCTATGTACATGTAAATGAAACACTCATGGCACCTATTTAAGTGGAATAACGTTATTTAATGCTTAAAAACACTTATAACTAACTGATGTTATCGATGGCCATCTTAAAGTATGTTATGTTGTGTCTTGTTTCAGGTGAAGCCTCAGATCAACCAAGTCAATCTTGCTTCTTGTTGTGTCATGCCAAAGGTACCTAACACTTGTTAAATTTAATAGAAGAGTTGACCAGAAACGGGAGGCGACATTTAAATGCGCATATTAAAGAGGTTTTTCAAAAGCAAGTTACAACCTGTTAAGTGCATTTTAGGTGTATGGTGAACGAGATAAAGGTGGGAAGTCATCAAGTACAGTGGCATATATCGTCTTTATATATCACACTGGTTGCCAACATTTTAAGGCTACATCAGAAAACGTGACAGACGGATGTACCTAGATTATCGGGAGAGTTCTAACATTACAAATTATTTATTTGGTATATTGCGTTCCGCAGGAGCTTGTGGCATTTAGTGAGAAACATGATATTCAACTGCTGACACATGCCGATCCAAAAGGTACGTGAATAAACGAAAAGTAAAGTAAGCTATAATATTAGAAGTACAGTGGAAATTTTATTAACCACGCTTAAGGTCTCGTGCCCCTCAGTAGAGTGTCAGTGGCTCTCTAGTCCTCTTAGTTCTCTGTTTCTTACAAGTGGTTTTTGTAGTTCTCGTGCTGCTTGTAGATGTTGTGGTTGTTTGTTTGCCGTGATTCTCGTTTACCCAACATAAATAACCAGAACCTAACGTGGAGAACCACAGCGACAACGGGACCCTTGACAACCTTAAGAACTAGAGAATCGCAAGAACCACATGAAGACAATACAAGACAATCCAAGACAATAAGAGCAAAGAGAACCACAACGACGACGAGGGAACCAACAGAACGATATGGACCACAAGAAAGAGGGAACTGGCCATGACATCCAATATAACCAAGAGAAGCACTGGAACCACGAGAAACATGAAAACCATGTTTCAGGGGCGGATCTAGGGGCAGGGCGCAGGAGGAGCGCACCGCTCCCTGAGATGAAGCCTTCTTCGTATTCGCTTTTAAAAGTTGTTTACCTCACTAGTCAGTTACGCCATTCCTTAGTGGTGCACCCCCTCCTAAGAAAAATCCTGGATCCGCCCTTTTGACTGGAACCAGAAAACCACAAGGGCCAGTGAAGTACCTTGGGAAGAACAATGACGTGACTCAGTACATGTATCATGACAACCAAGCCTGGACAACCGAGATAGCCTCAAAAACCACAGGAACCGAGTGAAGAACTACGGAAACCAGACAAACACGAGAAATACAAAAAACGGAGAACCATGGACTGCTAGTTAAAATTTTTCTGAATTCCGGGTATCAGCGAGCCATCTACACCAAATGTAAACTATGTTGCAATAATGGAATTGATAAATAGATAAATAGATTTCTTCAAATTCATTTTAAATCGAAAAGATATCAAGTGGTATTCTCTTTTACAAACTTTCCGCAGACATCCTGACCAAAGAGAGTCTGCAAGAAGTGCTGACAGAAGGCTGTGAAAATGTACCGGTCCAAGGTTGGAGGCCCGTGTGGGTCCTCAGGTATTCCGTGCTTGTAAAGTGCCGTGGAGTTATCAAAAATAAAGGGTACGTTGTAAACAATGGCTTTTTTTTTTTTAGCAATTTTGGCATACTTTTGACTTTATCTAACAGTCCTATTTCGTTTCTTCCACTTCAGGTACATAGTCAGTTGCGAGCAAGATTAAATGGCCCCTTCTGGATAACTTCATGTTTAATACACTCTCACGCCAAGTCACAGACACTTGTATTTTGTCATCTGATTGTACTGCCTTGATGGTGACTCCAACACTACATGTCGCACAATCGTAATACTCACTCCACGATTTACTCCACGAATAATTGTGTTTCATTCATATAGGGCAACACAGAACTGTTATTTCATTTACTATGAGTAAAGGGGAAGGTGTAACTTAGGAAATTTTTACAATGTGCGCTTGTTTAATACTTAAAAAAATAACGAGTGTGAAGATTTAAGACCCTTGATCGGTAGGTAATGTACGAAACTGGTGAATAACATTGATCACTGAAACTCTGGACAGGGTGGTTGTAAATTATCACTATAATTGTTGCTTCGTGTATTCTAAGCGGTAAGACTATGATGAACGGTATTTTTTTTAGCAATAGAACAACTCAACAGTCTTTAATTACTTACACATAAATAGCAACGCAGTGAACTAACCAAACCGAAGGTGATGTAAATTTGACTTTGTAGATTATTTGTATTTTCGTTTTGGTGCTGTACAGAACGTGTGACGCTATATCGAGACATAATTATTATTTTGATACAATTTGTTGGTTTATTTATGGGGAAAATAAAAACTGTAGGTAAGAGGTGTAATGGATAATGGTAAAAACTTTAAATAGTGCACTGTTTATCTCTGTAAATGTTTTACTATCTGAACCTTACATCAATACTTTCTTAAAGACTTTTATACAGCACGCATGAAAACACGGGAGATAAATATTCAGCTTTAAACAAACTGTTAACTTTTGTGCGTATTTGTTGATTTATTTGTCAGTTTTTTTTTATGTTACTGGTTTGCCCAGTTTTCTTCAACAGTTTGCTCACACATGGAATCGTTCCTGGAAACGAGTGAAATCGTCTGATTTTACGTACGTTTTCCACTTTAAAACAAAATAAAAGGCTTTTCATACTACATGTACGCGAGTCCATGATGGTGTCCATGAGTATATCAAGATGCAGTGAGCAAACCTTTTGTTGGCAATTTAAGCTGTAAATTGCCTCTCGCAAACAAGGCGGTTGGAGGTTGACGAAATTGGCGATGTCACAAGCATTTGTTTCTTCCTCCTTCATACCTTGCACCCGTTTCCGCTACAATCTGAGGATCTCTTGAGGATCTCTAAAACAGGTTAAGGGCATTATAATGATCTTATGTGATCGATATTTTATCATAGCATAAACACAAACCTTTTATTTCTACTTAAGCACATGCTATATTACTGTATTAACATATTATTAAGGATTTTTCACTCATTTTTTCCAATATTTGTATAGTATCCAGCAGTATATCCGGCTTACATAACCAACAAGCAAAACGTACTTTCTAATGGATTTTTTGTCATATCTGAAAATGGGATATCACTTTAACAGCATTATATACGGACATTATTTGCGCAGCAAGATACATCATTACCTCGAAGCTAATAACAGTTTTCGTTTACCGTCGTGGCGAGAAAAGAGAATTATTTGTTGGCTGCTGCCTGTTCTCCGCCCCAGATCCCTTATAATCATTATTCGATGACTCCATTTTTTTCTGCCATTCCTGCCTATACCTGTCACGCAGGCTATGTTTTAATTTACGACCCTCTTAATTGCTAAAAACAAAATTTTCGTCGTTTAATTTTATATTGTAGCGAAGCGATTGCAAGAGGGTCATTGTTTCTTCCAGTGATTATGAACAGCAGTACCATTGCCGCAGTATCGCAGGAAGCTTTTCCCGGTTCCAGGGAATTCATAGACGTAGAAATTTTTACACCGACGGACCAAAATTTGTTGTTTGAAGTAACAGCAATTACCGAGCCAGTGAAAACAGACTTCTCTGAGCACTGCGCCGTCGGAATGAGCAGGATGACCGTCTTTCAGCCAGCCAGTTGCGTGGGTGCCACAGTGATACAACTTGACGCATTTATCCGCCATCTCAAGTCCTATCGAGACAAGAAAGGTCATAAGAATGGAAGTCCGGGGGAGGTACTCGGTATATCTTTGGGTGGGGGTGTGCCTCTGGGCCACTGAAATCCTTACCTATACTAGACCATGATCAGCTTGATTTTGCAACCCTATTCTAGACTAGGCACTTACTAACCCCTACTCTATCCCCGACTGTCTATTTTGAATACAGAAACTTTATCACTATCATAGCCCAACTAGCCTGCGAACAGGTTCCCGGCGAGGACGGAAAAAAATTCCGGCGAGCGCGAAACAGAAGAATTCGGAGAGCAAAGTGATCGGGGCGGGAACAGCCTGCGAACAGGCTCCCGGCGGGAACGGAAAGTCACCTCCGAGTTTAATTTCTATCAAAGAACCCAGGATAAAGCTAGCTAGCTCCTGGTCTAGATTAAATGTTTATACACTGGCCACTTCTCCGTTAAATGATACCCCATTCTAGATCAAAATTGCCAGATTTCTATACCCTATCCCAGACTAAACCTCCTGAAAACAATACCCTTCACAGCAACACATACCCATATAGCTTATATCTGGGAGTAACCCCCCGCCCCCGCCCCCTTCGGGAATGGAAGCAGCATAATGAGCGGATTGTCGACAAATGCTGCAAATTTTATTGTTGTAGAACATTATATTGTAAGAAAAGAGGCTTAAGTAATTAAGCGACGCGAAACACAAAGCAAGTTCTTTTTTAGTTCTCATTGGAACACGAAAACAGTTTTTGAACATACTGCAATTGTAAATAGAGCCAAACTCTTCAAAGCGGGGGGGGGGGGCATATTTTA